AAATTGAAACTTATGGTATATCATCCTAAATGTGAGTGGAGTAACTTGTGTTGCTGAATGCTTGAGAGCAATAGAATTATTTTCTGTTTGAGAGTTACTTTGTAGTTCCTCACCTCAGGAGAATGCAGAATGAGCTTGCTGCTAACAACAAGGCCATGTCTATACAAAACAAATAAGAAACATACTACAATCTTGGGCACAGCTTTGTTTCCAGATATGAGCAGGACATGATTATGAGCAGGTCATAGTATCTGAGAATTGTTAAAGATTGCAGAGCTATTTATTCTACACTGGTGTTTCATGCAATGTACTGGCTTAGGAATTATTTTTCAGAGAAAAAAAATGATATCCTGGATAAAATGGAGATACAAGTCATGTGCCTCCCAGTGGGTTCCTATTCCTACTCTTATACCAACCCATTCCACCCGAACTTAAACCTGCAAAAAATGGCCCTTCTAGTAACTTTGTAATTCCTCTGATACTTACCTACAGCAATCTAGAACTTTGGGGATCGTGAGTTACAATCCTCACTCCTCAAAAATTGCTTACCCCTGAACCAGTAGAGGCAAATATATGCTATCCATAGATGTTTTCTAGGTCTTTTTTGATGGGTTGCAAAATAAGAAACCCTTTTACTTTGTATTTTGCGAATATTTAAAGCTGCATCAATACCTTTTATATCTTGAGAGCTTTTGGAGATCATATAACCCACCAGGGCCTACCATAGTGATTGGAATTCTATAATTTGATATATCACTTGTTGTAATATTACAATTTATTAGCATCATTCCTCACCCCACCCCTTGGTAATTGGTGAAAATGGAAACTCCATTTGGATCCTTGCTGCCATTTACACAGTAGTACCATTGCCAATTCCTTTTGGAAATGAGCAGCTTCATTAGGAAATAAAGTGCAGCTCTCAGCAAAAATTGGAATTTACATGGCTCAATAGGGTAATAAGAAATGTAGATCTAATTAATAAGCAGCAAAGGATTGATGATAATACAGGAGAAAGCAACAAGTGCATTTTTATAAAAATAATTAACTATTATTAATGATTTTATTAATTTTTAAAGTTTACTATTAACATTTTTAAAAAATGTTTATGAATACAGTATATTTATAAACTAAATAGCTTTCTGGTTTGTCTATATTACTATTCAATAAAGGATTGTGAACTTTAAAAGAAGAAACGTACATTATAGATACAGTAAAATTGCATGGTGAAAATAAAAAGGAGAAAACCCTACACTAAATTGCCTGTGAAGGGAAAAAAACATATATATTTAGAAACGTTAACAAACAAAAAGAGGGGGAAAAGAAAAAAGCTAAACAAAACTGAAAACAAAACTAAATTACGTATATAAAAAGAAAAATATCACGTTATTAAAATGATATAACCTTTTTGTATTTATCTTGGGATTAAATTTTTCAGCAATGAATTATAGCTTGGCCATATAGAATCATATTGACCATCTTGCCTCTCTCAGCATAAATCTGAGATTTCATATTCTGATACACAGTAAATTTTGCAATGTCCCTTCTTGATGTTTTAGATAAAAAGTTACTCATAGGTCCACACAGGGTGTCTGTGTGTGTTTGTGTGTGTGTGTGTGTTTGTGTAAAAAGTAGCAGTTGTAAACAAACTATGACAGCTGAGCATTTTGCTTACTAAAATTTATAAAGGGCATTTTAATTAGGATTGAATGTTTGTAAATGTGCCCAGTGTTGATGGAATTACAGTAGTTTAATACAATATGCCAGGAATGGTAAACTTTTTATGTTTTCAGAACTATCCTTTCTGAGATCAACAATTATGAAAGTATGAGTATGTAGATTTTATAATAAAGGGAACATCACTCTGTTTAAGAGTTCAACTATGTGAATGGTCAGCTGAGCTGAATGGTGTTTGAGAAACAATATATTCAGCATAAAAATGCACCATCATTTGGCTTTTTTAAAAGAAAAAGAAAAAATGTTTGACTTTATGTCTTGATCCAAGATGTACCATATTACTGGAAGAAAAAAAAATCCATACTTTCTGTATTACACTGCAATGTTGGTAACAATAAAAACAAGCAATAAACTTGCCACAGAATTATAGCAAAAAGGAACAGTAGTCCAGTTTCCCTGGCAAGTGGCATGTATTCCCTATCCTGTAACACATTAAGAATGAGATCAATGTGACTTTCCTTGCCCTCGGCAATATCAGTATTTTGCCAGATTTGATTGACTGTCATGTCATAGTTAAGTTTATTAGGTGTACTAAATCAGCAACAAAAAGAGAATAATGTGTCCATAAAGACGTGGCTCTTAAACACAGATAGAGAAGTTAATTTCAAAGATTGCAAGTCGTATGAAATCTATGCAATTGTCTACCAAATAATAAAGGAATGAGAGCCAATTTGGTGTAGTGATTAAGTCATCAAGCTAGAAACTGGGAAATCATAAGTTCTAGTCTGCCTTTAGCCACAAAATCACCTGGGTGACCTTCGGCCGGTTAATCTCCCTCAGCCAGAGGAAGGAAGCAGTGGCAAACCACTTTTGAAGTGCCAAGAAAAAAATACTCAAAATTAACAATACAGTATATTTAATCAAATAGTTGCAAGCTTTTACATTTCTGAAAACTTTGGTTTTTTTCTCCTTCCCATCTATTGTTACTTTAATTTTTAGCTCTGTTCTCCAATGTAAGTTCTTCACACAAAAAAATTCAGTTAACAGAATTAGTGATTCATTATAAGTTCTTTTTTCCTCCTTTTTCATTGAATACTGTATATACACAGAATTGGAAAGATAGTCAAAGAAAGAGTTGGAATATACTTACCTATTACCTTATCTTGAAGCTGTTGTGTTGCTTCCAAATTTCATGTGATCAGGCAAAATTTATTTTGTATTCATTTATGCAAACATATTTATGCAGCCTGGAATGAATTCTGAACTGATTCCAGATTCACATAGTACTTGGCTTATGCATAAAGCATCTTGTTATTATTATATAAAGAGGAATGTACATTAAAGTATTTATATGATCATATAAACTGTCATTTAAATATTTTTGGGAGTAGCTTATTTTGTGCTTTCAAGGATGCTAAGATTAGGGATGAATTTGTATAAGAAATAAGAAAGCTTTATTTCAATTGGTGAAACTCCTTTATTTAAGATTGAAAGCTTAAGCTGTCCTTCAAAAACACAGTCCTATTGATCACTTTAAAGTATCTCTGTTACAATAATATTGGCTTTTTGTTTGCACAAGTCTGCTTAAAATAGCTAGATAATAGATTTCTCAGTTTTAAGAATTTAAATAGTGCCTTATATAACCTAGATTTCTACATTTTGCCTTCCATATTTCTATTGGTTTTATTTTCTATTGGAAAATAAATATCACATATACTTACTGGCAATTTCTCAGAAAATTAAATGTAAGGTGACAATGTTCTATTGGAATTCTGCTTATGTAATGGCTAAAAGGTTCGTTTAAATTAAAAACTTAAAGGGCACTTTCATCAAAATGCCTAACCTTTAACCGATTGTAATATGCTTTATCTCTTTGTGTGCTGATCTGGCAAAATAATCTTTGAACAATATCAATAACTGATTACACTCCGAGTTTTTAAAGATTGATCAAATCTCCAGAAACCGCCTATGAATAAAAGGAGACCTCCAGGAAAAAAACCTTTGTTAGATGGTGCACGTGTCACAACAAAGCCATGCATTGGCAAACATCATCTTAAGAGCTGTCCTTTCCTATTGAGAGAGGAGAAAGAATTCTTGCCTGTTGTTTTGAAGGTGTATTTGAAGAAGTGTTCAAAAATAATTATCTTAATTGGGAGTTATCAGAATAAATTCAGATAATATAATTATTCTTTCATCTATAATAATATAAAATGAACACCTTTGTAATATGTAGAAACTGGAATTTGAAAGTGCAGTTCAATTCTTAAGATTCCAACTATACTTTCCTTCCAATCCCAGCAGTAGACTCGAGTTCCTTTTGTTGATAGTATTATAAAAATACATTGCCAAAATATATTTCTAAATAAGACTATTCATTTGGAATATGTTTGTTAAGAACATCTTAGAAAAAGTATTGATAGGTTACTAGCAGTCATATTGACAATACTAAAAAACTTTCTTATATGGATGATTAAAGCTTTGGAACTCCCCCCCCCCCAAAAAAAAGAATCAACATAGCTAAAAGAAGGCACACCTGAACTTTTATTTCTTCAAAATAAAACAAACTTCTGGTTTGAATGTAAAGAGATGAAAATGATTATATTATTTGTGGTAATAGATTAACTGTTATTTCACTTCTTGTGTGAGAAACAAAAATGAGAAATGTTATTGGGTTCTTTGCCTTGAATTAATTGCTTGGCATTCTCTAGAAACAGAATTACAATTACTTTTATTTTGTTTATAATATTTGTATAGCTGCCCGTGTCACATGACTCTTAAGCCTTGATTTAATGGATCTTGATCTAACACACTCTAGATACAATGGACAAATGTTTTATGTGGCCTTCATCCCTATATCTGCCCTTTTAATTGTGACGTCCCTGCAAATGATGCCATTTAAGTCAACTGCATAATAATAAAAATGAAGAACTTTGACACAAATGATATAAATTTTAACAGATGTTCAGATTTAAGAGACACCTCTTCCCCTGAATATTCTGCTAAATTGAGATTTTACTCCATTTAGCCGAGCAGTTAAAAATAAGTGTGATTGGGAGATTTGAAATATCTGTTTTCTTCCACGTTTTGTACATTAAAGGTGGAATTAAGTAGTTTATTTCTGTGAATGAAGCTGACTTTTAACACCATTGTAAATGAATATATAATTCTTCTTCCATTCTTGAACTTTCTCCATATCCTCAAAATCCCCCAATTTGCTGAAACAGGAAACTGCACAATTATGAATATCAATGGACGCTTCCCTCATATGTATTCCATTAATTTATTGCAGGATATCTGAAGATAAATAATCTTTTTCTTGGTTCCAGCTTTTCCTTATTGGAACATGGAATTTTGAGCTGTACATGATTCCACTGGTCTTGTTGCTGCTGTTGGTGTGGAATTACTTCTTGATCTTATCAGGAAAAGATAATCAGCCACATGATAATGTAAGTTTTTTTAAGCATATGTGTATTTGTTAACAAAAAAATCTTGGGAGTGGAATGTTTTTTTCAAGGTCTTATCCCAGTGTCTGAAGGTATAGAGGTCTGGATAGGCAGGCTTAAACTCAACACTAACAAGATTGTGGCTTAAAGATCAAGTAGCATCTATAGCCACGAGGACTTTTGCACAGATTCATCTCGTGCATTAATTATGAATGTTGCTGGACCGAGAGCCCCTTCTTAGGAACATTCATGCGTTGGTTATCTCATGTGTGAATTACTGCAATGCATTACTCTACATGGGGCTGGTCTTTGGAAGTTTCACTATGCAGAATGTGGTAGCACGTTATAGCAATGCTATTATCTATAAAGATCTCTATATTGTAATGATTAGATATTTGAAGAACTGTCTCTTCCTATTGTTTCTAGCTATCCTGTAAGCTTTGACAGAGTCAGCTGCTCTGTGTTTCATCCATTAACGAGATGCAAGAAACATGCCTTCTCTATTGTATGCCTACCCTCTGGAACAGTATCCCTTCAGAATACTGCTGCTGCCCTGCTTTTTTGGGGGGGGGTTATGGGCATCTTTTGTGAGGAGTTTTGTCTGTTCCACCAGGATAACCATCTTTCTTTTTTATTCCTTAGTATTATTCTTTTCCTTTGGTTTTCGTTTTGCATGTCATCCAGAAGTGGGATATTTAGATACAAGATTTATAATATAAAAGAACATTTGGAGGGTGCCTTTTCAGATATATTTTAGGAGAAGACCCTTGGGGCTCATGCAGTTCTCTGTTTAATGTAAATATGATGGCAGAAGATGTCCAACAAGGAGAGCCTAAGGATTTGAATGTGGAAATAACAGAAATAACCAGAAAATTTTTCTTAAATCCCCAAGAAATATTTCAAAATATTTTATACTGATGTGATGAGCAAGATGTGTTACAGATATCTACCCTTAGCACTACTTAGAAAGAAACAAGAGTAGTACTGTACTTGAGGAAGATGGTATAGAATCTGGCAACCTTGTTGTATAACTTCAGTAAGATTGCACTTCTTTTTTTTTACAAGCAGAAAGAAGGAACTAAACATGATGGCTACATATGATGAAATCATTATGAATTATATTGCATTTTATCATTTTATGGAGGAGGAACATTGTTTTTCTTAGCGATTATCCTACATTATTGAATTGTCTGCTTGTTTTTGCAATGTGGTCATTTGGTCCATATACAGAAACTATCTGGCAAGCCTTGCCACAATGAAAGACTCTCAGATCTCCATGATTTAAAGAAACCCAAGAACTAATTGGTGGAATAGCAGGCATTTCATAATGGTTGGTAATTACCTGATGATGGGCATTTTCCTGCTGAAAGGAACTAAGGCTTGGAAGTGAATAGGATGGTCTATCAAGGTGGTACCACTGAGAAAGATTTATGTTTTTTGATCATGGGCTGTGCTGCCACACAAAGACCTTCTGCCAAGAGGCAAGCTACAAAGACTGTGATGGATATTTTTGGCACCTCACTGATTTCATCAAGAACACATTAAACCAGAATGAAAGAACCTTTACAAAAGTCAACAACTGAATACACTTCCAAGGAACAGGGCCAACAATACAAGAAATAAAGGGAGAAGCACACAGGCAGAGAGGGCTCATTGGCTGGAAACTATGTAATAAAATGAGAAGGAGTACCACCACAATTTCAGATGTTTCTATAGCAATGAACACAGTGTGTGGCAAATAAAGAGAATTTGGAACGCTAACAAAGGGTTTTTGACATTTACTCAAAAAGAACAGGTCCAGCAGAAAGGGAAGGGGTGTTGTGGTTAGACAAAAAAGCACATGCTTGCACAGAATTAGTAAATTAGAACCTGGAAATCTTGTTAAGAATGTTTGATAAAGTAACTGGAATGTTGGGAGGAAGTGACTACATTGTCCTTGAAGTCATGATATCAAGGGGAGAGGAAATAGAGAAGAATCAGATTTGTGCATTGAATTTCATTCAACAGAGCAGATTGTAATGAACTCAGAGCCAATGGCATGAAATACTAAAGTAGTACAGGATTAGATGAGGGTATAAAATTATTTGAAAGAAGATTCTGAAAGTGCATGAACAAATAATATGGAATAAAAATGGGGGTGTATGAAGAAAGCTGCATGGAAACCCAGTTTGCTAAAATCTTGAAAAACAAAACAAAAATGGTAGGCGAGGAACATAACCAAAAAAGGAATATAAAGCAATTATCAGAAACTATACAGTTTGTGTCAGTAAAATAGAAAGGCTAGAATATGCAGAAGCTTGGAAAAATATCCCAAATAATAAAAAGGCCTTTTCTGGGTGTACAGCAGAAACAAAAGAAGAGTAAAACATGCTGTAAATCTATTACAGAGAGGAAGGGAGAAATATTTTAATTTGTGTTTTACATTTGTCTCCTCTCAGAAGCAAAGCTCTAGAAGGCAGTCATTGGGTAGTACAACTCAGAATACATAAGAAAAAAGTAAAAGAACAGTTAGGGGAACTTGCTAGTTAACTAGTTAACCTCTGAGGTCTTTTCCAAATCTGTGATTCTGTATAAATAATGGCCTTATTAATTAAATTTCTGTGTAATTATGACAGGTACAACCCTGTTTGATTTCATTCACTCTTTACACATACATTGTGCCACTCTATAGCATCTTCTGAAGTCCCTGTCCATGTGCTGTATCTCAGCACTACATGTCAAATAGATTGCTTCATTTACATATATTAATCCACACAACAGAAATGATGTTCCTCTGGAACAGTGGAAAAAACCCTCTGATTCTCCAGAAGTCAAACTGCAATTCATATCATCCCCACCCAGGATGTATTAGGGATGTTGATAGGATTGATAGTTAAAAAGAGATCATAGATTCCACTTGTAGCCATAGAGCAAGAGCTTATCCGAGAGGCCTGATGTTTTGTTCATGATTGACAGATCAAATATGACCTTCACATTATGCCACTGGAAAAACACAAGATGCCTCTCATAGCTGTACAGCTGCAAAATATTTGGGCTCATCATAAAAAGTTTTATTCACTAGCCTTTATGACAATCAGACAGCCTCTTTCTGTCATTATGAACTTAAATACCAGATATTTTTATGTTAAATTTATAGTGGTAACAAAGTAAATAACATCTTTTCAAAGCTTTGTATGAGAAATATATTCAACTGATTAAATCAAAGTTTCTACTGAAGTATTTAAATTTCAGATTAGGATTTTACTTAGTAAACTGTATGTCATCTAAAATGTGCTTATTTTAGCATTTATTTTTAATCTAGAGGTTAATTAAATATGAATCTTGAGGGTTTTTTCTGGAAAGGTTTTAAAACTCTTAGACTCAAAATTTAAGTATTTAATGATCTATATAAGGCTTCAATTAAATGCAATAGAATCTAGGCTGATTAAAAAGCAGGTAGATAAGTAGGTGGGTAGGTAGGTAGGTAGGTAGGTAGGTAGATAGATAGATAGATAGATAGATAGATAGATAGATAGATAGATAGATAGATAGATAGATAGATTATTATTTTTTATTAAATGTAATATGCGTGTTTGTGTCCTTACCAACTACTCCTTCAGTGACCAAGTTACAATGGTGCTGAAAAAAATTACTTAATGGCCAATTTCTGAACATATCCAAGATTACTTCCCTCAGTCATGTGTTTGCATTATAATCAGTATACATTGACCTATGCCTGACTTGTGTTTTTTTTGGTTCCCCTCTTAAAGGAATTCTTGTCTCTCCCCCCCCCCCCCAAGCATGGAGATTGGAGAGCGATTTCAAGAAAGCAAGCTGTTTGCTCTTCAAGACATAGAAAGCAATGCAATCGCACTGGCAGCAGGGAAAGGGTCAGGCAAAGGAGAGATTGCTTACAGAAATTACTTGCCTTTTTTTTCCTTCCCCATCCTCCCAGAGCAGAGAGATTGGAGAGGAAGATATTTCAAGAAAGTATTGTAAGCTGTTTGTATAGCACACCCACATATCCCAGACCCAGGCTGTGAGTGCAATCATATTGCTTTTGATGTGCACAAGAGCAAAAGCTTACTCTCTTGCAATCCCCCTCCAATATCTCAGCTTTCTGCATGGAAGGGGAAGGAGTCTGGCAAAGGGGAGATTGCCTACAGAATTCATTTGATGTTCCTCCTCTCCCCTCCCACTTCTGCAGAGCAGAGAGGTTGTGGAAGGGATTTCAAGAGAGTACTGTAAGCTGTTTGGGTAGCTCACCTGCAGCTCCCAGTCCCCGGCTGCTGGTGCAATTGGATTGCTTTCAATGTGTACAGGTCAGTAAGTAGGGGCTTGAACATTCCAAAGATTGCAGCAGTTGAAGCTGAAGATGTGAAACTGAATAGTCTTATCTCTTTTCAGCAGGAGTGCACAATCACAAACCCCTTATTTCCCATTTAGTGACTGCTTGGCTTAGAGGTAGAGTTGCCACACTCATTTAGGATAATTAAGCAAGGGTTACTTGTATATGATTTGTAATGAATGAAATACATTATTAGGCCCAGGAAAGAACCATTTCCTTTTAAGTGTTTGGTTAAAATTGAAGAATTAGTGTTTCATGAATTACATGTCCTAATTTAGGAAGCAGTCTGTTCGTATAAAGTCAGTTGAAACCTCTTAAGAAGTGGGGAGCAAAACTCCCTTTCTCTCTTCATTGTTTTTTTTTCTATTCAAATGAATGCAGGTCAAGTAATAGAGTTATATAGAAACTTTACATCATGGTGTTTGCATTTTAAGGGTCCATTTTATTCTATAGTTACTTGAACTATTAAGAATTGTTTTCAAATTATTGCTGGCCATTCTTAGTTTTGTAGATTGTCAAGTGCCATAACTTTTGAATAATATACAACTGGATAAGTTTTCAGAAAATGCTTAAACTTGGATATTTGGATGGCTTTGTTGTGAAAATGACCATATAGACCAGGCATGTCAAACTGCTGGCCGGCGGGCTGGATGCATCACTCTGAAACTGAGCCCACCCCATTGCCGGCAATGGGGAAAAAGTTGCGATACATCACGTGATATCATGTGACATCACGAGTTTGACATGCCTGATATAGACTAATCAATGTATTTCAATGGGCATATTAATTTGTGGGAATATTCAGTTTGACCTCTACTTTCTCATGACCTAAAGTCATCTGAGAAGTTTTATATACTGTATTCTGTTTACACTGTGCACATTTAATCATTTTATTTTATAATTACACACAAGCCCTGTAAATCAACTGATATGACAAACACATATTGTGCTTTGATTGTACAGAGACAAATGGGAAGAATATGAATCAACTCCAGATTCTACCCAAATGCCTCTAGTAGCTTAGAGTAGAGATGTTGATTTGGGATGCAGTTCTGTTCTTATTGTTGATTCAAAGAATAGGAGAAAGAAGGGGAGAAAGGGAAGGAGGCATCAACTCTACTTAGAAGTTATGTTACCAGATGCCTAATCTGTATTTTTGTTATATGAAAATAGCTTGATTGAAAGTTTGGGGGAGGATAGTAGTGTACAATCCGAACACTATAAAATAAATAGTTTTGTAAATACAGTGCAATTCATGAACTACAGTGTGTAATGTGAGATTAAATAGAAATCATAATAAAGAACTCATATATATATACTATACTGTATCGAGTCAACTTTCACAGACTCCTAATTGTCATCTGTATTCATATATTAAACATGGATCTACCCCTGAAATCAGGTCGTTAAGTAGCTTCCCCTCTTATGTGGCATATACAGCATATACAGCTGTGACAAGTGACATTACAGAAGGTCATGTCACTTTTAACTGCTTGCATCTGATTTCCCTGGTGCTTTCCTTTGTTTGATTAATACTATTAGTTTGTGAAATGCAGACAGCAATTTTTTAATGGAAGATATCTAGCCATTTTCTGAAAATTTATCCTGTTATATATTTTTATGAATTATTCAAATGTTATGTTACATGATATATCCAAAAGACTAAGAATGGCCAACAAAAATTGGAAAACAAATCTAAATAGACCAAACAATAAAATAGAATGGAATAAAATAGACACTTAACATGCAAATACTGTGATCTAAAACTTCCACATGATTGTTATCTATAGTACACACATTATTTGAACAGAAAGTAGAACCAAAGATAACAGAAGGGGCTATTGGGTTCTCACATAACAGAATAGGTTTTAAGTTACTGTGTGTAATAGACTGCTTCCTAACTTAAGCCCTGGGATTCATGAAGTATTTTCAGATTCTGCTTTAGTATTTATAGTAAAAATATAAATATTTCATTCCTGTTCCAACGTTACCACCACTAGAAGCTGCATTAAAATCCATATCTATGGTAAACCTATAGCCTTTTGAATTTCTAAGGGAAGTATTGTGGAATATTGGAAAAACACAACTAGAATGAAAATATAATTTTAATTAATATATCAGGATATGTTTTAACACAATGTATTAGACTGCCAAAATGTACATAATATATCAGGATTTCTTTTGTACCCACTGGGTTTTTTTTTGTAGAATGTTTAGGAGTACAAGCATGTGAGTGGCTCCTGTATCTGCAGTGTATTCTCACTGTACCTTAAAATCAACCCACATTTACCCCCATTTTTTCCTTTCCATCTGCAACAAAAATACACTCAGTACGGGTAGTCCTTGTTTAGTGAGTGCCTCATACAGTGAACAATCACACTTAGGATGTGATAAAAAGTAACTTTACAAAGAATCCTTGCATGCAGGCCTGCAAAGCAAAGGAAAGCTGAAGTAAGTAAATACAGTTGTGGCTTCAG